TCAGAGTATAAGGGCTCTATTGGGGGGAGGGAGGCTATGAGAGGGTGCTATCTGGGAAGTGGGAGTAGAAAAATAATAAATAAATAATAAATAGAAAGAAAGAAAATGATAGGTGTTTGGATAGATAGATGAGAGGGATCTGACTAAACCACAGGTGGATGGACTTGCACTGGGGAATGTCTGGGGACACTGACTTGACACAGTGGGCCTTAACATCCAGGACAGAATATATGGGTTCTGGGGGGGCTATGGGAGGGTGCTGGTGGGGATGAGGCTATGAAGATGATTCAGATTGCTTACTATTCTGTATGAAATACAACAAAATTTAATAAAAACAAATTGTAAACTTAAAAAAAGCTGTTCTGTATCCATTACTTTCTATTGCTGTGATAAAAACACTGACCAAAACCAGCTTGGGGAAGGAAAGGGTTTATTTGGCTTACAGCACAGTTCATCATCAAGGGATGTTAAGGCAGGAACCTGGAGAACAGACCATGGAGGAATGCTGCTTACTGGCTTGCTCCCCTGGCCTGTGCACAGACTGCTTTCTTATACAACACAGGACCATGGCCAGGGGTGGTACCACCCACAGTGGGCTGGGCCCTCCTACATCACAATACCATCAAGAAAATGCCCCATAGACATGGTCACAGGCCAATCCAATGGAGGAAATTCCTCAATTGAGCTTCTCTCTACCCAGGTGTGTCAAGTGGACAGTTGAAGCTATCTAGCGTATGTTCCCAGCTAAGCACTTGGCTAGTACTTTTCCTACAACCTCAGACCCTCCTGCTATCTCCTATCACCCTTGGGTCTTCCCACCAGGACTTGCTCCCTCCATCAGCCTTGGCCCTCCTGCCCATTTACCTCCTCCATGTGATTTCCTAGCTCACTTTGCTGCTAGTGACCACAGGACACGTCAGGACATCTGACTTCTTTATGCACTGCTTCCTGGAAACGTGGCTCTGTTAACTGTAGATGAGTGCCTTGGTCCAGCCTGTTTCTTGAAAGTGCAGCCACCTGTGCCCCTGGGCATTCCTCACTGAACACATTCCTCTCGATGCACCATGTACCTCTCCCCTCCTCCGTTCTTCTCAAACGCATCCTCTCTGGCCCCTGCCTCCATTCCTTTTTTGTTTCTCAGATAGCATATTTTAGCTATATCTTTCATTGTGTCTTCCCAGACACATCATCTTGGGAGCCAGCCTATTTTTCCTTAATGGCAGACTAAGACATCTCCTCGGGAGAGAAATTGTTCTACTAAGTGGGGTGCTGGGAAATCAAATGAGTTCGGGGAGCTTGTTTTTAATCAATTACATACTCTCCGAAACATAGCAACGCTCCTCTTCGGATTATGTGTCATAAGGTCCTGGATGACAATACCATTCATCAGACAAGGGGATATGGCTGGCTCCCTCTTCCCGGGTGACAACACCATTCCATCCTTACTAGGGACATGAGTGGCTTCCTTTTCTTGGGTGACAACACCATTTTGTATTCATTCCGTATTTACAAGGGACATGACTGGCTCCCTCTTCCTGGGTGACAATACCATTCTATCCTTACATGGCTGTCTGTTCCAGCAGCCTATGGCCAGTCAGGAAAAGCAGGGCTTTCTACTCCCTGAAGCTTTGGGCTATTGCTGTGCCAAGATCTGTAGACACTTGACTTTTGGTCACTGATTTAAAGTTCTCTGGCTCTGTCTTTTAAATGAGGCAGCTGTGAGTGTTGTAATCACGGTGACATGCCCCAATGACTTCCAAATTTCCTCTTTAAAATATTTCTTCAATTATAACTTGAGTTTATCATTTCATCATCTAATCACTTAGTGGAAAATGCTACATTTGGGTCCCATCATGGATAATCACTCCCCCCAAAAAGGTTTTATTCCAGTAAAGACTGAGTTCAAGAAAGTTGGTGAACTCGGGGCTCTTGAAGTCCAACTGCCTTGGCCGAAAGCCTCCCTGGCAACCCACTCATCCTGTTTGTCACTCTATGGACAGTAACGTATGCTTTTGTTTCAAACATAAGACTTCATGTGCCCTGCAGTGGGAGCTGCCACACTCAGCCTGGGTGGATGGGCCATAGGCTCTGAGCGGCCGTGAAAGTTGCTTCACTCCCTACAGCTGGGAAGGGGCAGGAACGTGAACAGTGGCCGGGCGTCTCCTCCCACTATTGACTGCTGTCTATTAGTGCTCTCCTCTGTCCCAGGCATTCTTCTTACTTAATGCCTCATTTCAATCCATGGACACACTGATCACCTGTATTTGCACCCAGAAAGTGATGTCAGATGCCTGGAATACAGCCCCAAGCTCATTTTGGGCCATGATAGAGAAGGCAAAATGGGCTCCTGTAGAAATCCTCAGCCTGGTTCATCTCCAGCATAAACGCTATTCTCTTCAGATGTGCACCACACTCAAAGATCACAGATTCTCAAATTAGGCCTCCTTACTGACATCTACAATGCCAGTTAGAGAGTGACAGCAGATGCAGTTTTCCCACGTGGTATAAGTGGAGAGTTAACCCTGAGGCTGGCAAAATTATTTTACCAAATGAGAAAGGTAGCGTGTTTTCTGGTACCGGTCTAAACTATTTCAGTTCCACCAGGGTTAGTCTATTAAATGCTAGACACTGATATTTAGACTTCAGTATATTTTTAAGTTATTTATTTATTTATTTTTATGCATATGTGTGTATTACCTGCATGTAAGGCAAGTGCATCTGTGTTGTGCAATGCCGGTAGAGGACAGAAGAGACTGCCAGATCCCCTGGAACTGGAGTTATGGACAATTGTTAGCTGCTATGTGGGTTCTGGGATTCGAACTCGGGTCTTCTGCAAGAACATTCAGTGCTCTTAACCTCCGAGCCATCTCTCCAGCCTCAAGACTTCAGTATATTATGCACTCAGAACAGGAAAGCTGTCCTTTGAAACTCCAGGGACACAAACAACTCTTCCTGTGTGTAAGAGCTAGAAATCAAAACTAGCTGGTTGTGAAAATCACATAAAAGGTCAGTTATGCCGCTTGATAGAAAGCATCCCTGAGAAATCCACAGTACCATCATGGGGTGAAACACTGGGTGCTTTTCCCCTAAAATAAGGGACAATGTCAGGATGTCTGCCCTTCTCGTTCCTATGCAACATGGCAGTGGAGACTCAAGACCGGTAATTAGGCGAAAAAAAGACAAAGCCATCCAGATGGAAAGGGAGAACTGAAGTGATTTCTGTTTGCATGTGTCATGAACAAACAAGACGTGGATGTGCTGGGACTAGCTAGCTGGGAAGAAGGGGGGGCTCAGGCGATGGGGGGAATGAGAGCGGAAAAGGGGTGAATGTGACCAAAGATGTTGCATTGTGTGTAGGAAATGGTCAAAAAAGATGCTAAACTGAAAAAGGAGAAAATCCTAAAGAGTCCACTAAAACACTGTTGAAACACTAGAAATGAATTCAGACAACTTTCTGGATGAAAGACCAGTACATGAAAGTCAGTCATGTCACTATGTATGAGCAGTGAACAGGAAGTGAAGTCAAACACTTCTACTTACAATAATACCAAAAAGAGAGACATAGATAAAAAGAATTCAGCAAAAGCAAAAAAGGGCTTGTACATTGAAGATATCATTGAAATAAATTTAAAGAAATAAATGGAAAAAATCAGACATTCATGGATGGGATGACATTGTTAAGATGGCAATTCTTCCCACATTAATCAATACTTTTCCAATTTATCAAGATTCGCTATTATCCTTACCAAACTTCCAATCCATTTTTGGGAAATAGATAATCTAATTCTAAAATTTACATACAATTGCATAGTACCCTAAAGAGAAAAAATAATTGAAAAAAATACAAAGATTGTAGAGAAGTTTTAAAACTTATTACAAAGCTGTAGTAATCAGGACTGGCATAAAAATAGACAAAATCAATGAAATAAAATAAGAGTTCATATAGAAACCTTCACATTTACGGTCAACTTTTTTTTTTTTAACAACAGAATCAGTATCATTCAGGGAAATTATACCCTTCTCAAGGTGCTCAGACAACTGGTCATCCACACGACAAAGAGTGAAGCTGAACTCAGTTCACGTCATATATAAAACTTCAAATAGTTTCAGAGTTTCAACACAGAGGAATCATGTCCTCCATGCTTCCAAGCAAAGCCAACCATGGTTGAGCAGGACCTTTGACTTATCTTCACATAGGTGGAAATGATAATAGAAAGGAGCCAGGGGCTCCTCCCAAGCCCATGTGATCCCTGAGGAACAGATCCTCAAACGACCTTAAGAGTAAAATAAATCGGTTATCTGGACCAACTATACGGCCTTAAACACCCAAAATGAAAGTATAACCAAAGATTAAAGGGGCCGATATAATTTCATAAGAGTCCATATGAATAGCTAAAGGCTACATAACAAGCAACAATGTCACACAGGTGATACCATCTATAGTGTTATTTTAATGAGTAGACAGATGGATCCAACAAGTAATACTATTGGAAGAAGTTGATAATGGGATAGAGTTGAGGTTCTGGGATTGTTTAAAGGATGGTAACTAT